CTGGCCTAGGAGCTGATGACATCCTTACAAGCTCTGATCCACCATAGTACTGAGCTTCTCTGTCCTAGTTTCTCAGCCTGTTCAAAATACGCTATCCTTGACTTAGGAGTGATTTATAGCTGTCAGCCACGAGCCTTACAAATGCAAAATTGGAAGTCGAACAGGTGTCTTTAAACATTTCTCTGAACTAACCTTTTGGGATGACTCAGTTCTAGACATTTTATTTGTTTCACACTGAATTATGGTGAAGATGTTCATCAGATGTTTCTGTTGTATTACAAATGTTGTATTTGTAGCCTTATTATCTCACTCTCTGGCATCTTTTAAGTAATATTAGTTGGAAAAAAACAGCAAAAATACTTCTGTACACTTTTCTCTAAACATTCTCGTTTAGAGCACATTTTCCTTTTCTCCCTTTGGTCAAGCTGATTCTCCACAGGCTCTTTCATACTAATTATCCTGTGTTTGTTGCCTCTGCCTGATTCTTAAGGCCCTTCTGCTCCCTTTGAATTTTTTTTTCCCCTCTTTTTTTCTCCACTTTGCTTTTACTCTTTTAGCTTTTGCCTTTAGTAACCCAGAAGTCCCAGTTGCTGTGGGCTTAGACTTTTGTGCTGCCCGATTGTGAATTCCGTGGTGCTGGCTGGGAGGCTTCCCCTCCGCGTGGGTGTTCGGGTTGCTGTTGGCTCCTGCCTCTGACTCAAGCTAGGCAGTTCTGGACTGAAACTTTCTTGCTTTATCTGGGATTTAAAAAAGCAACTGGAGCATCACGCTGACCTATTTCAGCCTTTTTGTTTTGCAAATGTGTTTTGGGAACTGCTGCTGCTAGAGCTCTGCAGAGCCGTGAAAAGACTGCTGGGGGCAGGGAGCGTTCAGGCTCGGATCCTCCCGCAAAGCTAGGCAGCGTGCGGTCTGCTTCCTCTGCTCTTCTGTTTCCCAATTATGTCTAAAACCCAGGTCGATGTTGTGTTTGTTACTTTAAAATAACTTGTACACAGATGGTCTGAAAGGCAAAAAAAAAAATCTTAAAATACAAAAAGCCACCTGACTGAACTATATATTGTAACTAATGCTAAAATCTACAATAATAAATTATGGCTTTCCTTAATACCTGGAGTAATAATATCCCCAGGTATATGCCATCAAAGCAATTCATATTCCCTACATATCTGTCTAAAGGATGTGGGTAATAAAAATAGTCAGATTGGGCATATTCCCAGGCTACTTCATAAAATGTTAATTATAGGGACAATTACATTACTATATATATTTTTTAAAAAAATATTTAGGACAGAAAAAACCATGTGACAGATCCCAACTGTTTATTGATTTCACAGAAATGTCCAGCTTCTCCTGTAATAAAATTAACTTGATCAACTGTGGGTAAGGTGCCAACTCTTTTATTGCAGTCCCGCTGTGGAGTGGTCGGTTACCCAAGAAGTAGAGGCCCTGGCTTGGTGTCCTTTGTAGTAGCAACTGTCACCCTTTTGCCTCTTGGAAAGAAATGTCCCTACAGGAAGCTGGCACAGGTGGCCTAGCGGCAGCACTGGCCTGCGCTGTGCTTGCTCCTGCTGCCTCAGCTGACGCAGCCCTGGACAGCCGCATGGCAGGCGGCACTTGTTCTGGCCTGCCCCAGTGCAGTCACAGAATCGCAGACTCACAGGGTGGTTGAGGTTGGAAGGGACCTCTAGAGATCATCTAGTCCACCCTCCGTGCTCCAGCAGGGACACCTAGAGCACGTGGCACAGGGTGGCATCCAGGAAGGTTTGGAAGATCTCCGGAGAAGGAGACTCCACAGCCTCTCTGGGCAGCCTGTTCCAGGGCTCTGTCTCGCTCACAGTTCTTTCTCATCCGTGCAGGTAAACTCTCCCCGGGGGCTGGCGCACATGGGGCCTGCGGGTGGATTCAGCACCCATGTGGCAGGCGGGCCCCGTGCCGCTGCCCTTTGCGGGCCGCACCAGCAGCCCCATCGCGGCAGGGCTGGCTCCGCTGTTGCTGTCAGTGTCACGCACCGCTCCATCACCACTCTGGAGACAGCGTGGGTGAGAAGGAGCCCCCAGCCCCATTCTCAGCTGGGTACGATGAGGATCCCCTGCGATGCCCCTCGCCCTGTTACAGCCCCCAACTCCTTTGGAGGCTGTTCCACAGAGAAGAAACACCCTTCTGCCTGGCCTCATGCTGTGTTTCTTTCCTACCTGGTGAGAGGAATGTAATAGGCAATTGTAGCTGGCAGGTGAAAACAAATGCAGTGCAAGAAATATAAGAATAAAATAGGTTTATTAGAGCTATTTTACATAAAGGTAATCAGGACCAAGCAAGTTTGTTTTTGATGAACTATTTGTATACCATGGCAATATTCCAGCTGACTTGAAGTTACTGAGGTACAAAAGACGACATACAAAAAGGTGCATGCCTCATCTGCCTCATTTTTTACTGGGTCGCTTGATGAACGTGACATCCTTGGACAGTCAAACAAGATAGAGAACACAGTATGTGTATATGTATATATATCTGTATATATAACATGTACTGTACACGTTTTACTGTTAACACACCTGAAGTTCACTCACACCTATCAATTACTTGCTCTAACTCTATGAGAATTTCACTGGGGCAGAGCGGGGTCAGGCACAGCAAGCTGCCAAGGCAGTGCAGGGTGCCGAGGCTTGACCAATGCAGGTCCCGAATCCCACGTGGCCGGAGCAGCAGGGCACGGGTGGCAGCTGCCCGGGAGCGCTGCCTTCCCGCTCTCTGCCTGCACCACGGGGCTTTGGCCAGTGCCGCGGCTGAAAGGCCCTGCTATTCTCCCCAGCACAGCACGTTGAGCAGGGATGGAAGGGGCTGAGCAAGCCGTGAGCGCTGGGCACAGACACAGCTCGGCCAGGACTGCTGCCAGTACCAGGCAAGTCCAAAACCCCTTCTCCTTTTTCATTTTAGAATTTAATATGTGCAGCTGTTAGCTGCACGAACGGCTAAAAACTATAAACGGAAAAAAGGTATTTTATTTTGTTACTTAAAGCCCAAATTTTGTAAAAAAAAAGCTGGTGCTTAAATAGTGATTTAATTAAAAAACACAACAAACCAAAACTCTCTAACAAGCCTATCTGCAGCGTGTGGTGCGGAGGGGCCCGAAGCAGCGTTCACAGGGCGCTCAGTGGCAGGGAGCGGCAGAGCAGGGCGCTCCCGGGAGCCGCGGGATGCTCCGAGGGCCCCAGCCAGGGGCTGCTCCGCTCTGCGGAGTCGCTGCGGGATGCAGAATCCCCCAGGGCTCCTCTTGCCAGCTGGGACACTGCTCGTTTCCTCACCGCATGCACCCATCCACCCACCCACACTGCTACTGCATCTCCAGAGGGGAAGGACGTGTTTCTTACCTTGTTGGCTTCCTCTAAACTCAAAATTTAAGTAAAGATTTTGGTCCTTTTTTACAGGCAGAGGTTTACAGATACAGCAGAAAGGGGTAAAAACAAGCAGCCTAAACCCAATGTTCAGAGATACATCCCGTTGATGAGGTAATCGGACTCTTCAGATGTGATGGGTCGAGCTTTTTTAAGCTTCTGCCTCACCAAACGCAGTCTGCAAGCAACCATGAGCAGTAGCAAAGCAGTGATGGCCAGGCCTAGCGCCAAGGGCAACACAGCACCTGCAAAGAGGTTAAGGAAGATCATAGTTTTAATATATACTGAACATTTAGTAGAGGAAATCTGAAAATTATTTTAAAAAATATGGCCAGTCCATCGGCTAATCTTTGGAGCAACTCACACTGGGAAAATGTACTGTATGATGATATGTGTAGAGAATCGCTCAAACATGGAAGGACATCATCCCGTTCTTGACTCTAACAACTAGGTCTGTCACACCTGACTGAAAAATCCTAACGCCCACCTACAGGAACTCACGTACTCAGTCCTACCTGTTTCCGGGACTGGGCGACTGCCTCCAAGTGGATCTCTCTTCGGCACAATTAGGCCATTTCCAGCTTTCTCATCAGTTCTTTTCCCTGAGGAACTGCTGTCTGTGCAAAGTCATGCAAGATAAATGAATACTGCAGTTTAGTCATTCAGGAAGTCTCAATCGTTAACTTAAATAATGTGAATGAAGTCTAAGAACTGCTGCCACCTATTGTAGAATTTGAATAAGTAACATGAAATTTAAGCTAAAATGTAAATCCATTTTTGCATCACCAGCCATTTCAAAGAAACTCTAGTGGGGTCAATTCCTAATGATTAAAAGATACAAACGCTCTATAAAAACTTCCATAATGTGATCTAGACTAATACTAGCTAAAATATTACTGAAACAGTTGTATATAGCTGAAAATTAGGCCACTTCAAATTATGCTTATCTCTACTGGTAATTCATAAATCAGGAAAAGCACAGCTTGGCTTCAGAAATCACCCTAATTTTGACCTTTCCCCAACACATTTACATGCAGAACTGAAATGCTGTTTGCACTGAAGTACAAACAATATTCATTTATACCTTCTGTTCTACACAGCACTGAAGAGGGTGGTTCATCATCTTCAAAATGCTTTCCCCACATTTTTTCTGACTACATGACAAGAAATAACACATGCATTTTTCTACCAAGAAGTATCCTGGTCATCCTGGCACCACAGATGACTAGTTCTGCCTCACAAGAGCAGAAAGTAACTTAGCCAGGACTCCCTCCTCCTACCCTTGCACTAAAGTTTTGTACCAACAGCTTTGGAGCCACTGAATACAAGAAAGGCAGCTTACTCCACCAGCAACCTCACAAAAATCAGAAATATGCCTGCTTTATGTGGCTACATTTGTTTTTCAGTGGTAACAAACAGATTGAGAGGCACTTTGGCTATGAAGTGAAATATTTCCTGATGGCCCTCAGAACTGTAACAGCGTCCATGAAGATATGCTATGCTACGACATCAATAATATATGAATGTGAAACATTGTAATCAGAATAATTTTCATGCAATGGTGGGTGTTAAAAGGGAATGTTTAAGTCACTCAGCTTGGAACAGCTATCCATATTCACCTGCTGCCCCCGAGAACAGCTCTGGAGCACTGCAGAAAGCCACCAAGCCCGTGGAAGCAGCAGAGACACTGCACTGTGAGGCTTGTAAACTGTTGGTGTGAGGTTAGTACTAACGTCCCCACTCGAAGCAACAAAACAGCCTCCCAGGCTCTGGGCTTATTGCCTTGTCACTATGGTTGGGGCATAAACACTTCTCATGCCTTGAAAACAAGCAACAGTCCTCATCATCTACATGAGGAAGGCATTAAGTTGTCTAGCATATGTAAGGGCCTTGAGATAATTCTAAGTGTAAATTGCACTAGCTTTAAGCTACTTTAATAATATCAGAGCTGCACAGAACAATCTTGATGTAATAGACACTCAGTCAGCAGCTACTTTTTGTTTCTGCTTTCCCTATATAAAATTAAATAATATTTTCCTTAATTCTGGAAATACTCAAAAGAGACCAGCTCTTCCTAGAGCTGATCTAGCCTGCATGACAAAACTAGGTCTGAATGTCTGGTTTATAAATTTGATTTTCTGCCATTTAAATAAGGGAATATTTACATCAAATGTTTGTGAAGACATTTAGCAAATATATCTGAGTATACAGACTAGCAGAAAATAAATAGAAGGCTACTAGAATAACAAAATGCTTTCACGAGATCTTGTAGGGTTTTGTTAGGATTTGTATCTATTCCTACAGGATTAGAGAGGCTGTCAAATTATCAACTGGAGAAAAAAAAAACAGATTGCCCCAAAGAGGCTTTGGAGTCTGACACCTTGAGGGTCTGCATCTCTTTGACAACATGTGAAACGTAAGAGGGTTTTCCTCAGGCACAGATCCAATCACCTTGGAATTCACACACAGCTCCCAAGGCGCTGGAAATTCATCCCACTGGTGCTGTCCTAAACTAACTTGTGAGAATTTGTCAGATAACTCTAGAGAGTTGGAGAAAGGGGACTTTTCCCTGAAGTGTTAGAGCTTTTATGCATTTAGCCTTCTTTCCTGCCTAGTAGTATTTTTAACACTATTAAGCTAACACATCTTTTGTGGGTTTTGCTTTGTTTTTACTTTCTCATTTAGCAGAGCTAAATGACAGACACGGCTCTCAATGCCTCCGCAGTGAAAACATGAGTAAGGCCTGGGCACTCAGTCAAATGCTGTAATCCCATCCCTGCACAGCACTGCAGAACAGCTGCTGCAGGCAGCCTAGAGAGGCAGAGATCCTGTGCCTGGGGAATGCAAAGCTGTTATTGTGATTTATACACTCGGTTTTGCTGTGCTGGGAAGTGAAAATCTGCAGGCTACTTATTAGTTCAACCTGTCTACATGACCGAGGTTGCTAGAATAACTGTTGCTGCTTAGAAACGAGGCCATCACTCCAGCGTGCTTTGCTGCAAGCATATCTCTGTTAAATCCATTTACAAGTGCAGCCTGCCAGGACGTGCAGCTGGGTTTTGCAGCTCCCCCTGGGAGGGAAGTGTGTGGCAGCCCTAGAGAAACGCTGTGCTGGCCCCTGGGAGAGACGCGGTCTGGCTGAACTCACTCTGGGAATGTTCCTGCAAAGGGGCAGAAGTCCTTTACTGACACCAAATTCCTTTTCCCACATCTACTCCCAGCTCATGAAGAAAAGATGTGGTCTTCTAGCTTGGACTAAAATGAATCAGGAGTGGGCTACAGCAGGCTCAATGTGCTGTGCGCCAGGGGAACCTCTAAGCTGCCCATGGTTTTCCTCTAGAGTGACGCTGCCAGCCAGGAGCCCCGCTGGAGATGCACAAGTGCACAGCATATTCACCTTAAAACTATGCTTATAAGTAGATGCATCTGATGCAAGAATCCATCTAAATCCTGAAGAAATAAAGGCGAGGGGTCTTGCATTCATTTTAAAAAGGCTCTGTGCAGACAGCTTTCGTTGTATTAATTTGTCATTTCAGACCATTTTAAAGCACCAGCATGGGAACTACCTGTTTCAGTTGCCTTAAGAGGCATGGCAGTTTCCTTGTACCTTCTGGAGTTTGCAGGCAATGTTTGATAATTGCTGCCTGTAAAATTACTGCACACTGACTCACAGCAGGCTTGTGACCTCTACAGGCAATACTTCTGGGGACTTGAAAGCTTTCCGACTAAAGAATGAGCCTTCTTTATAGCAAGAAAAGATTTTTCTGACCCTGGAGATGCAATTCAGAAAGAATCGTGCATAAAAATTAAGATATTTGTTCAGAGGAAAACAAAACAAAACAAAAACCTTAAACAAGTAACATGAGAAATGAGACAACCATGCAATTGCTTTCCCAAAAGCTTTACTTTGGTATACTCTACTGAAGGTGTCTTCCCACATACTTGAAGAGTCTTACACATCTATACAGCTGAACCAGCGGCAGAATTTCTTTGTACTTAGATCATTGCATGTTTTGTACCTTAGGCTGTATTCTATTTCTTTGTGTTTCCACATTTTACCTTTCTTTTTGCCACCTGGTAAGAAGGAGACTAGACAATTACAAAGCAATTATAAGGCAGTGCCTAGTTGTTACTTACCTATTAAATGCTCCTTTTGCATTCTATTTTTTTTTAATTTGGAAAATTCTACTGTTAGCAAGGCACCCAAAGACAGCTTTATTACATTTAAAGTGAAAGGCACTTTCTTCCTTAATAGAAGACAATTATTTGAAACTGATGCCTTTAGATTCTTACCTGGCACAAATCCACTGGTTTGCTTCTTTGGTCCCTGAGAAAGCGACTGATTAGATGCGCCTGCATCGAGTGAGAGAAGCGGCTGATTTCTTACAGGGGCTTTCAGGGTGTTGTCTGCAGAAAAGTTTTCATGTGCATTTTCAGTCAGTCCTACAGTCCTTTGCTGGGTAGTGGCAAGAGCTGCGTGTGTCACTGTCTTCCGACCTGGGCTGACTGAATTAGCAGATACAAAACCAACCATTTTTGTATGGAAATAAACACAGTGGGGAATGTTCTGCTGGAAGACCCTGCAACTGAGGTACACTAACCAAGCTCTCATCAGGTTCAGACATGCAATGAAATGTGAGTTCCAGCTGCATAGCAAGCTACCAAATGCCATTAGGTAGGAGCATACATATGAACTCTAATGTGAAATCCAGCAGCTGAAATATTAACTGCCCTGATGCCCCTGGTGATTTTGGTTGACTTTGCTGAGTATGGGTACATACTGAGGATGAGTGACAGTACCTAACAGAGCAATAGTGAAGCGGCTGTTTTCCTACTTGCTCAGATTTGCAAGCATTTCAGATTTTGGTAAGATGCCTGATTGCTTTCAAGTGTACCTCCAAGACACATCTTTCACATGAAGACGCAGTATCTGGAGTTACTATGCAATTAAGAAATTGATCTTTAAATTGTTGAAAAGCTTAACTCAAAATCAGTTATTTTCTGACTTTGGCAGTTTTAATGTGCTTTAAAAAAATGAGTTATTTCTGAGCTCCTGCTGTATGATGACATCAAACCTGCCTACATACTTCCTATGAACGGTTCTAAACTGAGAGCAAGGTGAGTGTTCATGGAAGGAGGGAACACCAACAGCATCGTTCCTGTGGGTCATACAGCCTATGATTACCATGATCTGTGTTGTCACACAGGGCACTTACGATTCTGGCAGAAGGTTTCATCAGATCCATCTGGGCACTGTTTCACTCCATCACAAGCAAATGTGATGTCAATGCAGCAGCCATCATCACAGATAAACTGGTAACGAGAGCAAACCCCGACACAGGCTGTTGAAAAACAATTCTCATATTACCACAGGAGAAATGCAAAGTCTTCAGTCAATGACTAAAATCTCTAGAATCAGGCAAAAGTGAAACCAGACTTTGTCAAGAAAGACCACACAAAGTGGAAAGTTGAAGAAGGGCCTGGCTCAGCTCTGTAATGCTGCATGGACACAGAAGCTATAAATAAGAGCTGCTCCCTGAAGGCTGTAGCACCTTGCAGTCTGTGCAGCTCTCCTGTAGTACCTTAAGCTCTGGAGGCATAAGCTGAAGGGAGATCTCCTTTCCAGGCTTAAAAAAAAAACAGGACAGCTCTGAAAAAAATAGAGATCTCTATGGTTTTAATTGCATTTCTCAAACACGTATTTCATATTCCATATCCATTCTGTATATCTGACAATACCTTATTTTATATGCACACATATGAGCTGTATGATAGCTCTGGGCTCTTTCACAACGTATTTTCTGTAAGCTAATGGAAAGACTAGAAAGAATGCTCATCATTTATCCACATGGCCTCAATACAGTGCATGTCAAAACACGAATGAGCGCAAGATCTTCCAGGCAACTCTCACTGGAAAGAGCTGTACTGCTGCTTGCTTATTCTAAAGGAATACTTAGATTCCTTTAGAAATAAAGAATGTCTCTGGACATTTCACAATTGCAGATACACACTCAAGGCCCTCCTGAAATTTATTTTGATCTTTTAATTACTAAGTGCTTATACACATGCTATTGCCTTCCTAATAGTAGTGTATTTCATTGCTTTGTAAAGCACTATTAAGTTCACTGTTTGGTTAAGCTGGTAACAGCAAACGGATTTACACTACCAAGGAACAACCAACAGATGCCCACAGCAACAAATAAACAAATCAGAAAAACTCTGCTTTAGCTGAATTAAATATCAATGAATACAATTCTATCATCCATTACTGGAACATAGATATTATTATACAGATTCATAACCATTTTTTTTTCCATAACACCAATTTATTGCCACTGGGACTACTCTCTAATCTGGAGATAATGCACTGGAGCAGAGCAAGGCTTCACTGGTCCAGCTGAATATAGTAACGTATCCAGACACACCATGCTAGTTTAACCTTTACTTTGTGCTGGAACAGCAGATCTATATTAGCAGCTTACTAATTACAAGGCAATTAGAAGTAATTACACTAGCCATATCTATATACATGCTATTTTTTAGTTAAGAAATAACTCCAAAATGATAGCCACTAAAATGCAGCTTCCTTTCTTTCTTTCTTTTAAGCTTTTGGCTTTGTTTTAATATGTTCCTAAAGCTCAGAGTTTAAAATAACGATGATCAGTTTCAGTTTTCACAGTAACCTAAAATTTCCACAATGGCTTAACAAACATTTAGCAGAAAAGCTGAAATGCATGAAAGCAAGAAACCATCCCACCTTTTAGTCTACAGGTGCAGGCCAATATTATTATTAATCTGTTAGTCTCAAACATTATTAGTTGTAATTCAAAAGCGAAAAAGGTGCCCATGCATAAAGAATAAGGAAGAAATAACAATGGACAATATACGGAATGAAGAAATGGACAATAAGATTTCACACCACACAGGCAGTGATTTCAGTCATTTTCTCACCTACTGCTGAATGAACCAGGGGAAGAACTGTCACAGAGACATTATCAGAGCTGCGCTGCCCAGCAGTGTCCGTCACTGTCAGCTGGAAAACATACACACCCTCCTGAAAGTGAGACAGCTTCAGTGTTCCTGGTTGTGGTACCTGATAGAAGAAACCCAATGAAAAAGAAATCTTATTGATATAAAGGATCTGTCCATAAATTTTGTGTTCAGTGCTTTTCGTATAGATAAAATATTGCTCTTAAGTCTAGCCAAAGCACTCAAGTGAGTGCAACTTTGATCTTTACTTTTGCTTTCAGATTGGAAAAATAAACATGCTTAACATTTGTATTCTGATTTTGATGGTACACTTAATTACATGGGGCTGTGGGTCCTAACACTGAAAAATAAACAAAATCCATAAACTTAAGTCATTTTTCAGTAACTAGAAGTGTCACAAAGTAGGCAACAATATTTTAGAATATTTTTTCTTGTACTCTCTATGTAGTTAATTTGTAGATCAATACATATCTAACGATACACTAAGGTGGTACCTTTTACAATTGACTTTTGACAAGGTGACTGAGAGCACTGCTTTATTAGTAACACTGACCACCTTCTTCCGGTATGAGTTTTACGTAAAAGTCATTCATATACACACACACATATGCATAGAAACAAATTGCACTATATCAGAAAAGATTTAAGAAAATAACTTCTTTTATGATAACTTAAAATAGATAGCAAAATGACATTACTAGTAAAATAGTAATTTGGAAATACGTTTATATAAAATGAGTATGATATTTGTATAAAATGCCAATTTTCTTAACCTCATGACACTTTCCCTTCGCAAATACTTCCAACTGTCTGTGAATTCAGCAACACCGACTTTAATAAACACAATAGAAAAGGTAAAGTCATGCACAAATTAATTGGACATCTAGTGCATTTTCACAAGAGCACAGGCCTATTTTTATAGGAATGAGTTACTGAAAAGTACACTGCAATACTCTGTGAATACTTTTAATATTAACAGCAAAATTCAATAAAGAGCTTTGGTTTTACTCATTCAAATTTATTTTTAACACCTAAAAAAAGAACAGGAAATTTCAATAAACATGATACTATAGTGCTAGGGTTTTACAGCAGGGTGTACTGATAAATTCACTTTATTCTTATGGTAATTTCCTAATTTAAATTTCTTTCTTCTTCCATATATTCAAGTGCACTCATTTATTTATTTGTCCCATTCATTGTTTCCTGATGATTCCTGAATATGGCAGTTTGCATTTTATTACTTGCTGTACTACAAAACTAAATATACCTTCAAAAGCACTTTCAAAAGCACTGCTGTTGTTCACCAAGGTTGCTGGGAGAGCAAATATGACTTCTAAAACTTGTAAACCAGAGTCTCACTCTTGGCAAAAGTATAGAGAAACTCTGGCTTTTTGCTTCAGAACTTGGGAATACGCCAGTCCTCTTGAGGACCTCTCTGCTGTCCTTTCCTTCTTCGTTCTGCCCTGAGCAAGCTGAGCAAGGCCTGACTCTACTTACTTTGTTCTGAACTTTGGCTCAGACTAGACAGTAAACTTCCAGGTAATGATCATGACAAAAAAAAAAAAAAATCCACCATCCCCCACACCTGTAGCAGAGCTTTGCAGTGACAGTATGGAGAGAGCACATCTAACAAGCCAGTTATCCCTGAGCTAAACAGTCACAACAGAAAATAAATGATTTCTTCCTTCTATGACATGGTAAGATCTCTTTCTGTAGTCCTTTCCTCTCCTATGCCTTCTATTTATTCCTTAGTACCTGAGTGCAATGTAACAGCTGCCTTTTATCTTATTTAAACATACAGCCTCATTATCCCTGGTTGCTATGCATTCACATACAGTTTTCTAAGAATAGATCAAAGGAAATTCAGTAACTTCAGAATACCAACTAAGCCAACAATATTTGTATGAATAATCACAGTAGTTAATTCAACACTAAAATTAAATTACCATGGTAATCATCAAAATACACATCAGTGGGAGAAATTCTTGCTCATTTGAAGACAATAGAAAAGCAGCTTTTTAAGCAGCTATTTAAGTGTAAGAATTGATTTCAGTCATCAAATATAAAGAAATCACCAAAATTAATGTGAATTTTGCAGGTTTAAATAAACATGAGCCTGGTCACTATTTTACAAGTAAAGAAGTAATAACATGGACTTTAAAATTTTTGTTAACTTCTAATTTTTGTGTTTCTTTATAGATATATTGCTACATCACATTAATTTCAAAAGAAATCTAACGATGCTGCAAAAGGTCTGATTAACAACTCAAGATAATAAAATCTTCCTTTTATTGAGGCAATGTCTGGCGACTATTCCAGCTTCATTGAACTCTTTTCTGGATATTACGCTGTTGTTACTCTTTTCTGGATATGAGCTGTTTGCACACCTCATAAGTGCCTTTTGGCCTCGTATTTTTCAAGCCAATAAAATTATAATTGAAGAGAAATAACTCACAGTGGTCTTTGACATGACAGATTTAACCTGTGACACAGCATCAAGTAATTCAGAACTGGCTGAAGATGATAACCCTTCCAAAGATGTACCATGTAGTAGATGACAAGACTTTCAAAAATATATAGCACTGGCTTGACTAATCCTTCCGAATATCCCTATCGTGTATTCTTCAAGGAGCATGGTTACAAAAAAATTACTTGTGCATAAATTTCAGTAACTTTTCACCAGAGAAACCCAGCTCCCTTCTTAAGGTTGATCCAGCAGGTCTTTTTTCCTGTTGCTGCTGCTGTGCTGTCTAAGCTCTCCCTAGCCAGGGGCAGCCTCATAACATGGACTTTAAAAAAGGGTGACAGTAAAGACTAAGGGTGACTCCGTCTCCCCTTTGCCATGTCCTTTCTGCCCGAGGTGGAGTCTCAGGTGTGCTCTCAATATTGCAGACTGCAAAAAGACTCGGTGCGTTTGAAACACTTTTCCTTTCCTTTGCTGCTGCTCTTATAGCAGCCACAAAAGAAGTGGAGGTGGAGAAACCCTCTTTTCATGGTTATTTTGATATCACGATCAAAAAGGTTAAAACCCAGTTGTAACATAAATGGTGCAGATACAATAAAGCAGTTCTTCAGTATGTCTTGTAAGGTCTACATCACAAATTTATTTGGAGTTTCTCCACAAGCACTGAAAAGAAAGTGTAGGTTAAAAATATGGTAATATTTTTAGTAACTGAACTACTGAGGTTTCTCTGGCGTGGATCACGGAAACCAAAAAGCAGCTACAGTGAGCACAAGCAATGCCTGGAGAGAGCAGAGAAGAAAGATGAAATACAATAGCATATTGGTATCTACTTACTTGCCATGGGCTGTCTCATGCATTGTAGATAAAAGTGCACTGTATAAACCCCCCTGAAGTAAGGCTCAAATTGAATATTCATCCTAAACCTGGTGTTTGATAGTCATTTGAATACTTACAGTGTTTTGACTCCTGCACTTAAAACTGAGCTATAAGGAATACAACAAACTGCCAGTAGCTGGCATCCATGAGGTTCTAGGTGTACCTTCATGTCAATAGATGAGTCACCTTGCAGCAAACTCCATTCGTACTGCACAATTCCATGGTCATCGGAGCTCTCCCGGCCATCCAGAAGCACCCAGTCGACGGGGGCCTGCAGCACAGTATCCTGCCCTGCCTTGCACTGTGGAGGCTCATCGTATTCTTTAAGGAAAAAAAAAAGAGATGAGTTATTTATGAAACTCAGCTATCATTTACAGAAGACTTTCTTTTTTGGGGGGGAGGAGGGAGGAGATGGGAAAGGTATGCATTCACTGTTGAGTATCCACCTGAGAGACAGCACAAGCACTGCTCAGGGCAGCACTTTTCTCTTTCCCAAATTTCAGTGCGAGACGGTTCACTTAAGCATGCTGTTCACAGTGTTCCCATCAGCCAACTGAATGTGCTGCCAGGCATTTCTCCTTGCCACAGGCCAGACCCACAACACAGAGAGACACCTTCCTTTGCCTGGAATAAGCCCCAGTCTGTTGGGCTATGCAGCACAGTCAGTAAGAATTGCACATATAAATGATTTTCACATTGCGCAGTAAGAAACATCTACTAAGCACATGTTTATGGCCTCCTCACTTTGGGTAGAGCTGCACAAAAGAAAAGCCAGTGAAGGGAATCCTCCTTGTACACACTCCTGCCAAATCTCAAGTTCTTCCTTGAAGGCTTGGAGCCTAACAAAGCAATGAGCAATAATATATGCCTTTTTAATCACTGGCTAAAAAGCAAACTTTTATACGCTTTTCTTCTCAGAAGTACTTTAGGCACTCTTTGGAACACTTCAAGGAATCCATCTGACACCAAACATGAGGGGGACAAAATTTCAAAACAAATGCCTTAAATTAAGAAAAATATAAATAACTGATAACAGAGTCTAATAATAGAACAGCACTGAACAGCTCTTACTAATCCAGCTGGCACAGGAAGCTTTGCCTAATGTGTATGTTCGGAGTTCTCAAAAGCAAGTATGTTTAAAAAGCACTATTCACACGGGGGAAAAAAAAGTAAACAGTTAAACTAGTATAAAGTAGGAGTAAAACAAATCAAAGATCAGAACTCCAATACAGAGGGATTGTCGCAAAAAATTCATCCCAACACTGACTTTTCTGGGAGGACACAAAGATGTGTTTGATCTGAACGATACACACCTCATCACTACACACTCTTAGAATCAAATATATAATGGATTTTGGTATGCTGAAGATCAAAAAAGCTAGAACACTAGAGATCACTGTATACTCAGAAGGATTTTGGAATTACAAAGAGGTCATATTTGTGAGTAAATGTTGATTTGGGATTATCTAAAGAACTGGCAGCTATCTAGATTTAACCATTCTGTCATTTCAGACTGCTATCAAGGCCTGTGTATAAACAAGCTCTGAAGTAAATTTGGCCATCTTTCTTGTAGCTGGTAGTGAATTAAGAAATTTTCTTTTTTTTTTTTTCTTTTCTGTTTTATGTCATGGCTGACAGATGTTTGAATGAAGTTTCCTCTCCTTCGTGGCTCTGCTTCAGCTCCAGAGTAATTGTATTAAGAAGCCATAACCCCCTTTTTCTGGTATCACAGTTACCTTGAGGGAGGATTTTTAAATAAACCCAACAGAATACAGAGCAATTTGCAGATCGCTATGGAAAATACCTTCCTAGATCAGTTCTGATAGTCATTAAAGCTGCCAAAAAGACAGGGTTTTGGAATTCAAAGTCTCCAATATCTAGAGTATGGTAACTGCATTCTGCATTAGGTCTAGATTTGAACAAAAGGCAATTCAAAATTAAGAACATCTGAAAAGATGACATTTTGACATTTTGATATAAAACAGTCATTAAAGCTGCCAAAAAGACAGGGCAAAACAAACAAAACAAAAGGCAATTCAAAATGAAGAACATCTGAAAAGATGATATTTTGACATTTTGATATAAAATCTAGTCTTGAGTCTCCTCTCTTGCAATTTCACACCTGGCTATAAGGCATACCCAAAATCAATACGTAAATAATACTATGTATCTAATACCCTCCCTGTTGTGAACTTCAAAAACATCTTGTGTTTTCTTTGTCCTCTTAAACTTAATTCCCCACAAGTTTCTCCCTGCAGCTTCCTACTTAACTACCCATGCACGTTACAAAATATTTTGGCACCTGACTTCTCTAAAAATCGAGCCCTTGTTCTCTCTTTCCTCCTGCACAACACCACGGATGTTCTCATAAAACTGGTGGAAGTGGATGAGGAATTGAGCCCAAAGTCTCCCCTTGACAAGATGCAATCCAGATACAGTGTTTTCATTCATGTTTTGTGTAGTGATTAACTTACTCAGCATACGAAAAAACTGAAGCTGATGAGGAAGACGGCATTTAAAAAGTGCTGTTAATAG